CAAAGGGCCAGAGAGGTAAATGACTTGTTTAGAGTCACACGGCAAGTTCTTGGCAGAGCTAGAACTAGCTGGTATATTTTCTGTTGATGAATAAGACAAAAGGGCATCAGAGAAATTCTCAGCCATCTCCCATCCTCTGCACATCCATGAACAAGCACACATATACACAATTCACACACACACACCAGAGAGAGAGAGAGAGAGAGAGAGAGAAACCTCAAATAACTGACATGTTGTGGTAGAAGGCAAGTAATGGATGATTTGTTTTCTGGGCATCTGAGAGTTTAGATGAAACTGGCTTTATTTCATCTCCTGTTTAAAATTCTCCAAAATATACAAATGTACTTGAAGAGTCTCCTAGTAAGGACAAATGGGATTTCTCTGCCGAGAGAGCCTGATGTGGGGGCTAATTTACTGGCCCAGCAATCATGAGAGTGGGCCCAAGTCCAGTTCTACTATGGAGCAGTTTTCCCAGTTGAACTTGACCATCCTTTCCTGATATTCTTAAAATGGCATTCTCTGTACTGGGGCCTGCGGTCATGGGCAGAGGCCCAGCCCTAAACACAGCCACGCTCTGATACCCATCCTTCCTTTCTTGGCTATCAGGAAAGCAGGGAACTAAGTTTAAACTTTGCCCTCAATACTGGCCACTGTACCCAACCACTATAAATAATTAAACAAATGGCTCTGTTCCTTCCAGGGTCCTGATGAGCGGGTGTTGAATATTTTGCCAATTAAAAAAAAAAAATCCAGACAGCTAATATTTAGAGCCAGCCCTGACCCTAAGTCACTTTTCTTATCTGAAGAGTGACTCCCTGGGATCATTGGAGTCCAATGACCGCTCAGAGCGTCCCTGCTAATGCCTGGGCCTCCCTGTCATGTGGGTGAGGAGTCACCATGCAATCAACCAGGAGGACTGAGGCCCACTTCATGCCTCCTGGGACCTCCTATGAAGAAATCCTGTGAGTCAAAGACAAGGAAAACTTTGTATCTTTAGAGAAACTGACCTACCTTCTCCTCATACTGTAGACTGAAAAATTAGAAATAAAAAACTAATTGGGGGCTGGAGTTGTAGCTCAGTGGTAGAGCACTTCCTAGCATGTGAGAGGCACTGGGTTCTATTCTCAGCACCCCATATAAAGAAATAAATAAAGTTAAACTGATTGGGTTTCTCCTTTTACTTGGCTACCAAGAGATTCAGAGTCATTTATATAGCTCAGTCACAGTAAATGCACAGGACCTTTGAGCCTGCTAATTTGTCCATTTTTCCCTCCTGTTCTATGCCTTCCAGAAAACCATTTTTTTTTTCCTTTAGTTTCTACTTAATATTTTATTATATATGCAAAATGCTTCAAATCCTTTGCAGAACAAGGGGGGTGTATAACTGACCAAATAAAACCAAGCAGGTTAAGATGCCCTCTGTCTCCATCCATCAGCAAGCCAGGTCAATTCCACTTTCCCCCCTTCACCTTGGCCTACACACCAGCCCTGGTTCCTACTGTCTCTCAAGTGGACTTCCACAAGGTCCCCTAACTGCTTCTTCCCCACTTCCATTGTCACTCTCAGTCCTTTCTCCACAGAGTAGCCAGTGATATTCAAGTGTGAATCTGATCACTACACAGATCTACTGAAGCGGTCAGGACTCTGGCTTGCAAGCAACAGAAACTCACTCTGGTTTTACTGGTCACATCCACATCCACCCATCAAGGAACCTATTGGAAAGATGTTGGGGTCTCCCCGGAATCAATAATAGCTGGAGCCCTGAGTATAGGCTGCTTTCAGCATCAACGGTCACACCAGGATCCAGCTGTCACTATGGTTGCTGGGCAAACCCATCACTATCCCTGACAGAAGCATCACCATTGGGCTATGAATGAATTCTGCCATCTCAAGACTCTAACATCAATGATCTATGTGAGAGGATCTAATCCACTCACTGGGGGTTGGGAGGGTCATTGCCTGCACCCTGGCTGCTGGGGGCAGAGAGTAGAACTGTCCTCTCTGTCTTCCACAGAGCAAGGCTTGGCACAGCCGCCCATCAATAGTACACAAAATAGAGAATTTCAAGTAGAAAGGGAGTTTGGGGCTGGACAGCCAAAGCTGCAATAATATCCACAACATGTGCAAAATATCTCCTATTGTCTTCCTATTGTACCCAGAGTAAAATTCAGATTTTGCACCAAGGCCCCTAAGACTCTCCTGCTCTAGCCCACACCAAACTCCCCAATCACCTCCTCTTATTGCTCCCTGCCTGGTACCAGCCAGTGATCTTGTGGATCTTGAACAAACTAAGCCCTCTCTCCCTCCAGGGGAGCTTTGCACATTGAGTAGCTGAGCCTGGAATGCTCTTCTCTTTTCCCCATGGTTGTTTTTCTTTTGTCCTTTACTTCTCAGGTTCAATGGCAGCTCCTCAAAGGCCTTTCCTCACCCAACTGATTCTGTTAAGTCTCATTCATAACACTGAGCACAATTTGAAATGACTTCATTTCTGTATTGAACTTGTCTTTTGGCCTGTCTTCCCATTCAATAAAACTCAAACTGTAGACGACAGAGACCTACTAGTCTCACTCTCTCTATCTTTTTTTTTTTTTTAAGAATGTTTTTTTTTTTAAGTTGTTGATGGGTCTTTATTTTATTTATTTATATGTGGTGCTGAGATTCGAACCCAGGGCCTTGCGCATGCCAGGCAAGCACTTTACTGCTGAGCCACAACCCAGCCCTGCTAATCTCACTCTCCACTGAACCAACAGTTGGCAGCAGGGTTTAAATAGTATAAATTCTGAATAAATGCTTGTAGATAGGATGTGAGTGTGCTGGAGATTGGGATACAAGTTTGAATGAGGCCCTGCTCTAAGGAGTAACGCATAGCCTGGGGGAAGAGAACACTTAAATAGGTTATGTCATAGTGCAGGATAGCACTTAGTCCAAGAAATGTCTGACGAGGCCTTAACAATGTTTCAGCTCCAACCATAACGATCCTCGGGCTTCTCCCCAAAGCTGCCCCAACTCTAGGTTGGGGGAACTCCAGAAGGCCCCCACCCAGAACTAACTTCGTGGGCATGGGACCAGTGAATCACACACGGTCTCACACTCAGAGGCCTCATCCTTGAGATTAACACTCTGTAGTAGCTGTCTTGAAATTCTTCACAAGTTTATCTTGGAACTTGCATTTTGTAAGTGAATCCCAATGGGACAATGGAGGCTGCCCCGAGGACACACTGCCTTGCTCTTCAGACCTTGCAGCTCAGCTGGGGACATTCTCTCCAGGGCCCACTCTTCCACCCCCACATGTCCCTTCTTCCTGTTCCCAGCCAGTGACTGTTTTACCTTCTAGCCCCAGAGAGAACCACCTGGACACAGCAGGGGAAAGGTCAGGGTCAGGTGTTGGCATCCCCCAGTGTCTTTGGGCAGAGCATGTGAAGGGCTGTTCCCATCCTGGCTAGCAGCACCATGTGCAATTTGGCAAGTGATTGGGGTGATTTGGAGGGAGAAACCTCTTATCCCCCTTTCCCCTATGAAAGTGCCTAGCATTCTCCTGACAGGGTGAAATATATTTCAGGTCCGGGTGGTAGGCAGGTAAGAAAGGTCTGACTTGCCTTCCGTGCTCCTGGCCAGGGCACAGTGCCTTGTTCTGGTGTCTGAGGGGAGAGGGCAGCCAGGATGCCACAGCACACATGCACACTGCGTTGCAGGCAGCTGGGTGACTTGAGAGCCTGCACTCACCCTATGAATGTCCCTGTTTCTTGCCAGGGAGTGTGATATTAAATAGCAACTAAAAAGCAGCATGCTAGGTCAAGATAGAGATTTTAGAAGAAAAGAAAAATCTTTATTTTAATAAATGTGATAGCACTTTCCTGTACTTTTTAAACAAGAGTCCCTGCATTTTCATTTTGTAGCAGGTTCTACTCTCACCTCTTCTAGGCCTCCCCATTTTAGAACTCAGGGAGGAGATAAGAGCAGAGAGCATTATTGAGTACCTACTATGGACCAGCCACCGTTTTAAGCCCTTATCAGTATTTATTTATTTTTCATAACAATCCTATAAAATATGTATGTATTATAATTATGTCTACTTATGGATGAGGAAACCGAGGCACTTTGATTGGAAAGGGCACTATCTTCAAAGTCCAGAAGCCAAAGTGTTCATTGTAACTTCACCACTGACCTGCTGTGTGTTGGTCCTAGAGGTCTATAAACCTCAGATTCTTTTTAAAAGGGGAAATTCTACCTACTTTGCAGTATTATTAATCCCATCACCTGAGAGAATGGAGGCCTGTTTGCCTCATAAACTGCATAAAAGAGACTCCCCTGTAATTATTTTAAGCACCATCATCTGCAGGTGGACCACTGAGATCACCTAACGTAAACCTCTCATTTTAGAAAGGCGGAAACCAGCTCCATCCCCTGCTAAGTCACACTCTCTAGGGTTAGGCTCCTGCCTGTGCCCAGGGCTCATTCTGGAGAGACAATAAAAGTAACAGAATTAAAGGCAGGAGTGAAGATGATGCTTGCCAAAAATAAATCAATAAATTGTGCAGGGCTGGGGATGTGGCTCAAGCGGTAGCTGCTTGCCTGGCATGCGTGTGGCCCGGGTTCGATCCTCAGCACCACATACAAACAAAGATGTTGTGTCTGCCGAAAACTAATAAATAAATATTAAAAAAAACTCCCTCTCTTTCTAAAAAAAATAAATTGTGCAGATTTTTGGCTTATAATGGTTGTTTTTCCATTTTAGGCAACAGACCACTGGTGCTGAATTTTGGAAGTTGCACCTGACCTTCATTTCTTTTCAAATTTGACCAATTCAAGAGACTTATTGAAGACTTTAGTCCCATAGCAGATTTTCTCATCATCTACATTGAAGAAGCACATGCATCAGGTACAGAAAGATGTTTTTGCCTCTTCCTATTCACACCCTCTCTTTTCCCTCTCCCCATACAAAGTTGGAAGTGGGCTGGAGGAAAAGAACTGCTATTCATCAAGCACCCGCCACCTCCCTATCGCCGCCCTGGATTTACCCACCACTCACTTCATGGTTTGCTTTCAACCAGGACACACACACACACACACAAAAAAAAAAAAAAAAAAAAAAAAAAAACCTGGAGAGATGGGGTTTGGCAAGAGAGCATTCTAACCTTTTAAGATAAATAGGGAAATCAAGGGAGAGCAATTGACTTGAGCACATTTATAAGGAATTTGGACCTGAAATTGGTGAAATGACTGCTATTCAGTTATTTGTAAGTATAATTATTTGTGCAGTCATTAGTAATGACTGCTATACATCCTAAGACAGTTGGACACAATGGCACATGTCTGTAATCCCAGTGACTTGGGAGGCTGAGGTAGAAGTATCATAAGTTTAAGACCAACCTCAGCAGTTTAACAAGACTCCCCCACCCCGTCTCAAAATGAAAAAAATTAAAGTGCTGGGGATGTAGCTCAGTGGCACAGTGCCCTTGGGTTCCATCCCAGCACTAAAAAGAAAAAGATATATCCTGAGACTCAAGGAGATAAGATTCATGTGAGTCAGTAGTTCTCATGCTGTGGTAAGTATCAGAAGCACCTGGAGGGCTGGTTTAAAGCAGACTGCCTTAGACAGGCCTGAGAATGTGTATTTCTTATGAGTGATGCTGATACTGCTGATCTGGGGATCCAAAGTGAGAGAACCACTGACATAGGCCAACTCTTTCCTGGGTAAGAATCCTTTCTATAGTCCCTACCTGCCCGTCACCCATCATCATCATTTCATGGGAAATCATCCTTTGTTAGGAAAGTCGAAGATAGTCAGAGATAATTCTTCCTTACAAGAGGCATACATGTCCCTCCAGGAAACATGTATATCGTGGTCTAAACCCCTTACTTTACAAAATGGTCAGACACATCTCTTCTCTGATTTTCATGGGGACTGAACTCATGAATTTGGCCCAAGTCTCAAATCCAAAGATTGGGGAAGGCAGGAAGGCTTGTGTGGCAGAATGGAACAGGTGCCATTTCTTCATCCATCTCCCCACAGAACAGGAGAGATGCTGTCTGATACATTGCTGTCACCCAGAACTCAGTATAGCCCACGTCACAGTCAGAGCTCTGTAAAAACAGGATGGATAATGTATAGGCCAGTTAGCCTTGCTGGCTTGTCCATGTCTTGTAAGCACAGAGATTATTCTGATTAATCTTCAGCCAAGGTGACCCAGTAGTACTTTCTCCCAATGTGGTCCCCAGATCTTTAGTGACAGAACCACTTGCTTACTGAAAATGTATATTCTAGGGCCCTACCTGAAGCCTACTACATAGTGACATAAATGTACACAAAAGCTTAAAAGCTGCTTTCAACTTATATTGTGCTCTTTTAACTGGCATCATCTGCCCTTACCTGGTGATTTTGAAGCAATTTAAAATATTATAATAAGATAATGTTATGATAGGTTCATTATACTGTTCTTTCTTACATACATTTGAAATTTTCCATAATAAAATTTGTTTTAAAACAGCCCAGGGGACAGGAGAGCAAAAATGAGAACAAAGTATCTCTTTGTGAGATATCCCTTTGTGAGAACAGCAGGCATCAGTTAAAGAAAGAGACCTATGGCAGAGAAACTGGCATCTGTGGTCTCCAAAGCTGAGAAGAGACAATGCCTCCGCGTCACACAGCTGGAGCTCAGCCAAGCCTAGTTTGATTTAGCCTTCCTGGGGAGGCACTTCTCAAACTTTACTGTGTGCTCAGATCACTTAGGCGTCTTATTGAAATGCAGATTCTGGCTCCAGAGGGTTGGCATGGGGCCAGGTAAGGGCAAAGCTGCTGGTCCAGGGACCATACTTTTGAGTCACAAGGTCCTAGAGGATCCAGTTTTAATCTCCAAAATAGTAAATTGCAAATTGTGACAAGAGGGTTTGGAATATCACTGACATTGTTTCCTGGTCCTGATACCTGTCCCTGACTCATTTTTCCCAGAATCAGACCAGGTAGGTTTAAACCTTTCTGGAAACTAGAGCTATCTACCTCAGCCACCAAGGAAAGGCTTCCTGCCCTGTCCTGACACAGTTTTTCCTCTTCCCCATCTCCTTCTTCCGGGTCCTTGTTTCTATCAACCAGACAGAACTGGGCATAACCTATACCTCAGAAATAAAGCGTACAGAGCTAGTATCCATCAGACCCAGGAGGTCTGGGCCAGTCTTTAGGGCCCAAATTAGTTGACTTGACTTTCTCTACACACCCCGTTTGTCCAAGTAAAATACAGGGAGGCACAAGGTATAGTGGGAAGGTCCAGACATTGGAGTTTCAGACCTGGGTGTGAGTCCAGCTCCATTATGTGCTGCTCATGGGATTTTGGTCAACTTCCCTTTTGAGTCTGCTTCTCTACCATAAAAATGGGATGACATCATCTGCCTCACGGAATCATTCATTCAACTTTTCTTACTGAGCACTTACAATGTGCCCAAGCCTGCTGGGGCTAGGGAAATAGAGAGAAAAGATGTATATGCGGTTCCTACCTGTAAGGAAGTTACATTTATATTTGGGGAGGAAAGTCGCTGTTCCTCTCATGTTCTCAGCTGTACCATGGGGCTGAGAATCCCTGCTTGGCCTCCCATGGGAGGCAGCTGGGAAGCTCCAAGAGCCCACGGTGGACATGGCTGCCTAAACATGGTATAAATAGAAATTGGTGTTATTATCATCAAGAAATTTGATGACGAGTAATAATATCTTTGATAATGAGTAATAATATCTCAGGCCAGACATTTGTATCTTGAGGTGAATCTGAAGGGCTGGTTTAACTTGGGAGAAAGATACTGAGTAAGGAGACTTGGGAGCACTAAGGAGGTGATGTAGACTCTGTGGATAGACTTAAGCAACTTATCTCACCTGCAGGGCAACTATTATTGTAAACATGGGCCCGTGGCTTCCAAAGGAACCTATGACTACATTACCTGGATTCCAGGTTCCCCAGAAATGGGGCAAATGGAAGGGCAAGGCTATGAGCAGTCTCTAAAGGACAGGGAGAATAATGGGTTGGAAGGCAGTGTGATTAGGAGGCAGGAAAACTGCATAGAAGGGGATGAGAACAAGGGTCACTGCCAGGCTGGCAGCTATATGAGGCTTTGAACTCACCCTGAGCAGCTTATCTTAGGTTGTCAATAGAGCTAAAGCAACATCCGCTGCAGTAGCAGAAGTCACAGTGCCTAATCCAAGAAAGAGAAGGCTCCACTCTGCTCACACTGAGGTGGAGTTAGCTACTGTAACAAAAAGAGAGCAAAGGTCAGAGACAGCCTGGGGGTGGGGGTGGAGGAATCCAAGTACCTCCTCCATTTACCTGGAGCCAAGAGCTGGAGGAAGACTAGAGGGATAGGCAGAGGCTGGGTCACTGAAGGCCTCATGGACCATACTGAAGAGGCTGGGATCTATCTGAATGGTGTTAGGAAGGCACCAAAAGATTTGAGGAGGAGAGTGACATGGTCAGATTTGCATTTTGGAAAGAACATTTTGATTATGAATAATCAGGAGAGGAAAGTTTTCTAAACTCTAGTGTAATAGTTTTTTTGTTTTGTTTTTATTTTATTTGTTCTTTTTAGTTATACATGACAGTAGAGTGTATTTCGACTGGAACATACATGGAGTATCACTTCCCATCCTTGTGGTTGTACAAGATGTGGAGTTAAAAGGGTCATGTATTCACATATGAACATAGGAAAACTATGTCTGCTTCATTCTACTGTCTTTCCCATTCCCATCCCCCCTCCCCACCCTTCGTTTCCTTTTGTCTAATCTAATGAACTTTTATTCTCCCCCCTCCACCTCCTTATTGTGTGTCAGTCTTTACATATCAGAGAGAACATTTGGCCTTTGGTTTTTGGGATTAGCTTATTTCACTTAGCATGATAGTCTTCAGTTCCATCCATTTACCAGCAAATGCCATCATTTCATTCTTCTTTATGGCAAAGTAATATTCCATTGTGTATATATATCACATTTTCTTTATCCATTCATCTGTTGAAGGGCACCTAGGTTGGTTCCATAGTTTAGCTATTGTGAATTGCACTGCTATAAAAATGGATGTGGCTGCATCTCTATAGTATGTGGATTTTAAGTCCTTTGGGCATAACCCGAGAAATGGGTTAACTGGGTCAAATGGTGGTTCCAGTCCAGGTTTTCTGAGGAATCTTCATACTGCTTTCAGAGTGGTTGCACCAATTTGCAGTCCCACCAGCAATGTGTGAATGTACCTTTTCCCCCACATCCTTGCCAACATTGTTATTTGTATTCTTGATGATTGCTATTCTGACTAGAGTGAGATGAAATATCAGCATAGTTTTAATTTAGAGCAGTAGTTTTTAAAACTAGTTATAATGCCCTAGTGCATTCAAATCATCTGAAAGTCTGTTAAAACCCAGATGGCTGGGTCCCACCACTCGTTGGTCTAGGGTGGGGCCTGAGAATCTGCATTACTAACAGGCTCTCAGGTGCTGCTGCTGTAGCTGGTCTAGAGCCCACACACTTAGATAACCACAGTTCTAGACCACTGCCTCTCAAAGTGTGGTCCAGGCACCTTGCATTCTGGGAGCAGGTTAGACTCTCAGTCATACCCTAGAAAGGATGAATCAGAATTTCCCTGTAACAAAGCCTCTGAGTGACATATATGCTTACTAAAGATCAAGAAGCCGCTCTCTATTGATTGGACTATCTACATTGAAGAGATGAGGCCTGGAAGCCAGGAGTCCGGGGCTTCAGTTTTGAGTTAATCAGTAACTGTCTATATAACCTGGCAGATAGACCTATAAGAGGAAACTGGACCAAATCATGGCCAAGGGCTCCTCTACCTGGGACCTTCTGTTAAAAGTAGTATTTAGCCTGAGGAATTGGGTGCCCTGTTTGTACAGCTTGAGTGCCTAATCTTTCTTTTCCAGATGGCTGGGCTTTTAAGAATAATGTGGACATCAAGATTCATCAGAACCTCCAGGACCGCCTGTGGGCAGCCCACATGCTGCTGGCCAAGAGTCCCCAGTGCCCTGTGGTGGTGGATACCATGCAGAACCAGAGCAGCCAGCTCTACGCAGCCCTGCCCGAGAGGCTCTACGTACTCCAGGAGGGCAGGATCCTCTACAAGGTGGTGACCCAGGGGCAGGAGGCCCAGGGAGGGCCAAGAAGGTCCAGGAAAGACAAAGGCAAAAAGAGGGCTTTGTATCAGGGAGACTCTAGATTCAAATCACTGCTAGTCATGTGACCATGGGCAAATTCTTTCACTTTTTGGAGCTTCAGTTCCCTCTTCTGCAAAATGAACAGACTGGTCCCCACCTCATCAGGGAGGAAATGATGCCCATGAAAGCCCTGGATTTTATTTATTTATTTATTTATTGGCACCAGAAATTGAACTTAGGGAGCACTTAACCCCTGAGCCACATCCCCAGCCCTTTTCTTGTATTTTGTTTAGAGACAGGGTCTCACTGAATTGCTTAGGGCCTCGCTAAATTGCTGAGGCTGGCCTTGCAATCCTCCTGCTTCAGCCTCCTAAACTGCTGGGATTAAAAGTATGCAACACTACACTGGGCAAGCCCTGGCATTTTGACCATAACTGCATCTACTAGCTGCCTTCTGAACCCAGACGACTGGCCCAACCCTGATTTTCAACTGGGAGATAAATAGAAGATGTTTCCGTTTTATTTTGATGCTCAGAGAGGGGAACTGACTTGCCCAAGGTTACTAGGCAAGGCTTTGATTTCAATTGCCCCCATGAGAGGCAGCAGGATAGGGAGGGCTGAAGCTGCTCATCACTGAGGCAGGCCTGGCTCTGGAGGGGATGTAGGAACCTAAAGAGAGCCGACTCTGTGGGTAGGAGCTGGAAATGTTGAAGCAGGGATGCAACCAGAGAACTGAGTCCAGGCTTCCTGGTGATGGTTTTCCCCTCATGGTCTCCAGCCTTACTAGGGAACAGGAGCTAACACAGAGGCACAGCCTCTGGCTCCTTGGACAGTGTTGGTCTCTGAGAGGAGGAAATAAGTTTAGAGCTGCTGAAAGGATTTGCAGCCTTGGATAACTGATGATATCCAACTACTTGGATGCCATTCTGCTCATGGCCCTCCTTATACAGGTGAAATAAGCAACATCTTGTACATGGAACCCTAAGGTTCTAAGGGTCACAATACAAGGATGCAGGTCCCTCTTCCTTGCCCCTTCCCTGAGACATGGTTCTAAGATCCTGGGCACAAAGTCCCTACCCTGGATTAGGCCCTGTGCAAATCCTGGAAACACAAAAATTAATTGAATGATCCGTGCCTTACTTCAAGGTGCCCACAGTCTGGGAAGACCCAAATAAGAGTAGTAATACAGGGGCTGAGGCTGTGGCTCAGTGGTAGAGGGCTTGCCTAGCATATGTGAGGCACTGGGTTCAATTCTCCACACCACATATAAATAAATGAATAAAATAAAGGTCCATACATCTAAAAAATATTCAAAAAAAAAAAAAGAGTAATAATACAATGTCCTGAATGCTGAGATTCCACAGCAGAGACCAGCAACCTTTTCTGTAAAGGCCTTGATGGTCAATATTTTTTACTTTGTGGACCAGATAACCCTGAATCCCCAGCAATCCAGTTTTGCAGTTATAGCAAAGAAGCAGCCACAGACCATCTGTAAGTGAAGAATGTGTGTTATTAGAAATGACTTGGCTCTCAAACTGCAGGTTTTCCAACCCTGAGGAAGGGTGGATATTTCAGAGGATGTGGCAAGTATGGGCCTTAAAGCATAAGCAGTCTGTTGGATAAGGTGAAGCATGCCTGTAATCCCAGTGACTAGGGAGGCTGAGGCAGGAGAATCGTGAGTTCAAAGCCAGCCTCAGCAACTTAGCAAGCACCTGTCTCAAAATTAAAAATAAATAAAATAAGAGGGCTGAAATGTGGCTCAGTGGTTAAGTACTGTGGGTTTAATTCCCAGTAGCCAAAAAAAAAAAAAATGCATAAGCAGTCAGTCAAGTAAGCACAGGGAGTGAAGGTCATTGCAAATATAGGAACAGGTGGCAAAGGCCCTGAGGTATATAGGGTAGGTGTGAATAGGGAATTGGAGGCACTTGGGTTACAGGGTCTGATCCTGGATCAAGGAGTTCAGCTTTCATCTTAGGGCAAAGAAGAGCCATATGAAGATTTTGAGTAGGAGACAGGCATGATCAGATCGGTTCTTTAGAAAGATCATTGGCTGTTGGATGCAGTGGCACATGCCTATAACCCCAGTGACTCAGGAGGCTGAGACAGGAGATTGCAAGTTCAAGGCCAGCCTCAGCAACTTAATAAGGCCCTAAACAATTAGTAAGAGACCCTGTCTCAAAATAAAAAATAAAAAGGGCTGGGGATATGACTCAGTGGCAAAGCACCCCTGGTTTCATTCAATCTCCAGTACCAACAAAGGAAGGGAGACCATTGACTACTGGGTGAAGAATGGACTGGAGGGAGCAGGATAGTGGGAGGTATGGTGGCTGCCAGGACTAGGGAGTGCAGAGGGCATCTCTAGGGCAGGGGGACTGGAGGAGCAGAGGTGTTTTTGATGCCGAATGAGTAGAGCTTCTGTGGGGACTGAAGAGGAAAGGAAGGTCTAACGGTCTGAAGGTCTAATGAGGGAAGAAAAGTTTATTTAAAACTAAAAAAAAAAAAAAATCCTTTTCTCCTCCTAAAACTCGGTAACTTTGCCTCTAGTGTTCTTCTATCTCAATTCAGTCTTCTCATTAAATGTTGGTGCCACGCCACCCACTTTCCCTGGATGATCTGATCCACCTCATTGTTGCGCAAATCTGCCATTGGCCACACTGTACTGATAACACCACCATAGATCTTAGTCCAGATCTACAACCAAGCTCCAGACCTTCATATTCCTTGCAGGTTGGAAATCTGGGAATGCCTGATTCATTTCTCTTGCAGGGTAAACCTGGCCCTTGGAACTACCATCCAGAGGAAGTTCGTGCTGTTCTGGAAAAGCTCCTCAGTTAACGTGGACAGATTCTCCAGCTCTGTCCAGGTGATCCACAGAAGGACTCCTCAGGCTTGGCTCTCTCAGCCCAGCTGACTTTCACCTTTGACCTGTGTTCCCAGCTGAACTACTAGCTCAAAATTAATTTTTCAAATTTAAGCAAACAACTACTACTAGAGAGGGCAGGTCACAGCACCCAATCAGGTCAAATTGTTTCCTTTTTTTTTTTTTTTTCCAGTACTAGGAATTGAACCCAGGGTTGCTCTACCACTGAGCCACATCCCAAGCCCTTTTTGTTTTTTATTTTATTTCTCACTAAATTGCCTAGGCTGGCTTCTACCTTTTGAGCTTCCTGCCTCAGCCTCCCAAGTCTCTGAGGTTATAGGCGTGTGCCATTGTGCCCAGCACAAATTTTTATAAACTGAAGTAACACCTGAGCTGTTCAGGCAAGTAAATTGTTAACATGCAACTCCACCCTGCTCCCTTAGTGGAAACCATATTCTTCGCACAATGTCTTCTTTTTTTTTTTTTTTTTAAAGAGAGAGTGAGAGAATTTTTAATATTTATTTTTTTTTAGTTCTCGGCGGACACAACATCTTTGTTGGTATGTGGTGGTGAGGATCGAACCCGGGCCGAACACATGCCAGGCGAGCGTACTACCACTTGAGCCACATCCCCAGCCCTTCGCACAATGTCTTCTAGTGAAATGGCAGTCGCCCTCCACTGGCTTACTCCTGAAGTGTGGCGTTTCCCTTGCTGCTCTAATACCAAGTGTTCAATATGGCACCCCTTCTGTGAGGCAAGTCCATTTGCCCAAACCTGCCATTCATAGGACTGATCATTTAAGACACCAAATTGGCTTTTGGAACAAAGCACAGGAAGAATTCCACTTGTTAGGGACAGATGAGGAATTGGAAGGGGAGGGCATGGGAAGAGAAGAAATGATAACCCGGATAACTTGTTCCTTGACAAAAGATTTAAATCAGTCAGTGGTGGTGCTGAGTGAGTTTCCATGGTAACCATCTGCAATTCTGCCAGGAAAAGGAGAGTTTTCACTTTACCATCTTTGAATATTTTTCACAGAAATCTGGCTCTCTGTTCTCTGGTATATTCCACGATTTTCACTTATCAAGGAGTGATAAGGAGGATTTTTGGCTTCCCAAAAGCATTATGATCATGACCAAAGCAGACAATAAGCACTAGCAAAAGCTATCATTCAGCTACATAGAAGCTCATAATTGAAATTGTTTCCCCAAGATCTTCACTAGTCTCTAAATGGTCATTTGTGTTAGATCACATCAGACTAATGGATAACCTTTAGAATTCATCTGTTTTTTAAAAATATTTTTTAGTTGTCAGTGGACCATTATTTTATTTATTCATTTATACATGGTGCCGAGAATTGAACCAAGTGCCTCACACCTGCTAAGCAAGTACTCTACCACTGAGCCACAACCCAGCCCTAGAATTCATCTGTTTTAACTCTGCTTCTTTTCATATTTGTTTATGATGGCCACAGCCTAAAGTACCCACAGCTGTGACTTGATTTTAAAAAAATGTTCTAAGATGCAGCAAGCTAATACAGAACAATTAAAACATATCAAGCTATTTTGGATGGCTTCAGTGTGATCTTTACATTTTCTTTTCCAATTTCGGTCAGCCTGAACTATCTTTTATTATAACTCAATGTAATCTGATCAGCAAAAATATCATTTGCTGGAGGGGCCCCATTTGGTGGGAAGAATACTCAGTCTTTATGTGTTACATGTCAAATGCATTACTCTTATGAATCCTGCTGGAGGGAAATAATTTTTCACATTGGAATCAAACTTTGGTCACAACATGACAAAAGGATGGACTTGGGGGTACATTTTGCCAGCATGAGAACACGTTCCCTGTGGCTCTGCCTTAGTTGCTACCATGTTAATTTTTTAAAAATGTTCTTTAAAAAAAAATTTTTAGTTGTCAATGGACCTTTATTTATTTATTTTTTAAAATGTGGTGCTGAGAATTGAACCCAGTGCCTTGTACATGCTAGGCAAGCACTTTACCACTGAACTACAAATCCAATCCCATGATAATTTTTTTTTAAGTGGGGGGTAGATACTGGGGATTGAACTCAGGGGTATTCGACCACTGAGCCACATCTCCAGCTCTATTTTTTGTTTTATTTAGAGACAGGGTCTCACTGAGTTGTTTAGCACCTCACTTTTTGCTGAGGCTGGCTTTGAATTTGCAATCCTCCTGTCTCAGCCTCCCAAGCCACTGGGATTATAGGCATGAACCACCCCCCACCCTGCCATGTTAATATTTAAAATTTTTTTTTTAGTTGTAAATGGACACAACATCTTTATTTTTTTATTTTTTTAAGTGTGGTGCTAAGGATAAAACCCAGTGTCTCACATGTACAAGGCAAGTACTTTACTGCTGAGCCACAATTCT